CTCATAATATAGCGGACTGTAATGAATAGCCAACACTGATTGGTCCAATTTAAAATTGGCATTATAACGGCTGCATGACGATTGACGATAGCGAAATTGATTTGATGATTTCCTGCAAATATATTTCATTTTTGCAAGATTTTGTAAATTGCAAAGGATTTTTGATGAAATAAAGGCAAGAGGATTGCTAAAAGAAGGAAGTAAAGGTGCCGACGTTAACGAAGGTAAGTTTGTTTTAAATATTGATGCATTGTTCGCTTTTAATATACTGTAATCTCGGCTGTAATTACTTTAAAAGCCGATCGTTGCGTATATATAAAATATGAAAGAAGACAGCGTATTATTTCAGGGTTTCTTTATTGATTACACTTTTTATTATACTAAGCAAAGTTATTTACATGGGAGAATTTGGAATCATTTTATTTCGAACTCAAAGTTTATCGATAAAGGCAGTTTAGTTCCATATTAAAAGAACACTTCAAACGTTTTGCGAAGCGTTTGTGGTTGAATTTTACCTTAAATTGAAGCTTATATTACGTATAATAACATACCTACTGTAATTACTTTAAAAGCCAATCGTTGTCGGTATAAATATGAAACAAGACAGCGTATTATTTCAGTGTTTCTTTATTGATTACACTTTTTATTATACTAAGCAAAGTTATTTGCATGGGAGAATTTGGAATCATTTTATTTCGAACTCAAAGTTTATCGATAAAGGCAGTTTAGTTCTATAGTAAAAGAACATTTTAAAACGTTTTGCGAAGCGTTTGTGGTTGAATTCAAGCTTATATTACGTATAATAACATACCTAACATATATATGTTTACCAAATTGATAATTTTGTAATTAAAAGTGATATTTATAGGGGATTTTTCATTTGTAAAATATTCTTAAAAAATTATCGTGTTACCATGGCAACTTTTTTAAAATACTTCACGTTCGGAAAATAAAATGGTTTTGTCAGCAAGGCGAGGGTTTCTGCAAGCATGTATTTTCTAGTAATCGTTCATAATCATGGAAGGGCTTATATGCCGGGGCTTGTATATGGACAACATTTGATGTTAGCAATAACACTTATCGCGCTTGTAAACTATAATGTTAAGAGTTGATGGTGTAATTATTATCACTCATCTGAGCTGTTGGAATCCCTGTCACTGTGTTAATTTAATAATATACTTGGCCAATAATATAATTAAAGCCTATGGTCGTGTCAATGGAGGGGCTTATATATAGAGGGAATTATATTTGGAATGGCCTGGATTTTAGTGAATATGCAGTGGGCTTATATGCACGTGGGGGACTTATATACTCGGGTTGGGTTACATTCGTAGGTTTACGATACGTAATCATCAGTACTCGTTTGCAACTGCTCCTTGATAACCTGATATGCATAATGACGTCACAAGGCTTGATGTCCGAGAGGAATGCTGGTTTTAGTAGTCATCGCCCGGGAAAATTAAACAATTCAAAATTATCAATACAGAAATTTTCCTGAGCGATGACTACTAACAGCAGCATTCCTATCTCGCGGGCATCAAGCCTTGTGACGTCATTACGCATAAGGTCTATTATGACCAATTTTTATGCCACCGGTTAAGTGAGATGTAAACGTGAAAAGGTTAATGACTGTGCTAATTGATTTTGAAATATTTTGAGGATATGCCTTAGCTAATTGGTAAAACTTTGGCGAGCTTACATTCCTAACAGTCCTGCCTTGTTATTAAAAAATACAATTAATAAAAACTAGTAGCATTATTTTGCTATTTAATAAAGGAAAATTAGACTGTCACATCTAGCTGTGTACTGAATTTCAAGAAATACAGCTTAAATAGTAGGAGGCATGCATTGAATAGAGTAACAATGCTGTATAAAATCTCAAATCTGGAGAATAACATCAAAGCACAGCAGGGAACCAATTAAACCACAACTCGTCTTATACAAAGTGCACGTTATGTTTGCGTAGGGTAGACGCCATAGTCACCCACCCTAAATATTATACTACTCCTGACCGACACTAGCAGGCTCAAATTAACGACAAAGAACAGTATGGTAATTGTATCTAGTACTGTACATATTTTATAAAAACAGGTATAAAGATTTTGCAACAAGAGTCAGGTGACAACTCGTCAATTGGCCATTCGATGTTCTACCATATATACAGTAATGTGCATGTCTGTATAGCCCCTGCGAGTTAACGCTCCATAGAGCATCTTGTTGTAAAAAAAATGGGAAACTCTTGAGAGGGAATTATGTTCGACTAAAATAACAGAGGAGCTTAACTTTACTTCAACGTCCGGCATAATGTACCTTATAATTCCCGTTAACTTTTAACCAAATTGTTGTACACTTGACCCCCAAAACCGCGAACAAAAAAGATAATATTAAAAAAGAGTATTAAATTTAGAAAGTTTACCATTACAGTTAAAATTTTAGAGACTACTGCCAAAATAGGAAAGAGAATTACCTATAATAGTTTTTTTAAAGTTGCGTGCAGTCGTGAATATAGAAAATTAAGGAAGAATCCGATGGACAAAGAATATTTATATATTGGCATGTTTCCCAAATTAGATGCGTGAGTACGTAAGTACGTCAGGGAAGTCACACACAGAAGCGCTTTAATTATAATCAACATTTCGTGGCAATACACGCACCTATAATGCCATTAGGTCAGACGTATCAGGTGTCAATTCACATACTGATGATGACTTTGAAATAAAGTCGAAAATCTACAGTCTCATACACTATTATTGTTTTAATTCATATCTTGACCTTCAAGATAACCTCATTTTTTGGAATTTGTTTCTTTTTCTATTTTCTTAGATTGTCGGCTGGCCGTGCATGGTTTTTAGTTTCGTTCAGTTCCCCCAAGTTCGATAAAATTTTTTAGTACTCTGCACAACGAAGATGCGAATAAGACGTTTCTTGTTTCTCTAAACGTTTTTTGTGTTACCTCTTTTAATATTTTGTGTTCTTGTGTTGGTATAGGAACAGATTTGATAATCTGTATATACAGGGTTTCAAGTGTGTCGTCAAAGAATGTTAATAATACCTGGTTGACGTAATAAAGTTGTATTCCATAAAACATTTTTGACACTTGTTTTGAGTTGAGTTCCGATATGTCTGTATTCGGGTGACTGAAAAGAAACGTTCGTTCTGTTTCAACTATGTCAGGCATACCCGCTCGCATATCACATTTCACCCTCACCCTCACCAAGCTTATAATCCTATTTTAAATGCCAACATTATAGGTTAACTCCTCTTGACCTATTCTAATGCTTTGCTGGGTCTCTAATTACTAATCATTATATATCTTTAACTTAATTTATACTAATATTTTTAACGACAGGTAGTTTTGCATCCTTTCCTCTTGCAGGAGCCTAATATATATATATATATATATATATATATATATATATATATATATATATATATATATATATATATATATATATATATATATATATATATATATTAGAATAGCAAAGAATATAGCAAAGATCGAAGCTGTCTCTCTTTAGATTTTGATGAGAGCGATATCTCAGTGTCAATGAGAATAAGATTAAAACGCTGACGGAAGCAGTACCTACTAATCACAAAGATATATAGCTCATAACGACCCTTAGACCAATTCAATTTGACAACAATAAGCATCTTAATATGTACAATATTCACCTACATTTGCATATTAATCTTAGAGTATTATGAAATTTGCATGCCATAATTATGTATTTACATTAGAACCCACATTTTCAAATTATTATACTTCGCCTGTTATTTTCACTGAGATTAGGAGAATATTATAAGATTATCGCCAAATAACATCGTTCGAACCGATACTTAGAGCTAGACTTCACTTCCATATATGGCATAAATGTGTTCCATAACACAATTTCCTTCTATATAGTCGTTCCTAATAATCATCCTATGATGTCATATACGAATTATTCCGCCCTTAACCAATTTAACAAATTACATTTACAAAACACAGATAGCTCATTTGGTCATGGGCGATAACGGCCACAGTGACTAGGTCATCGGCAATATATATTTCTATACATTTCCAGTAGAAATCATCAGCGTGACATAATGATTAATTCATTCATGAGAATTTGAAAGCTTGGTAAATAAACATTGCTGATTTATACAATGTATATAAATAAACATTGCTGATTTTAAGAATACTTCTACATTATGCAAGTGCAGGTGACTATAATCTATAAATATACGCAAGAGTGATATTGGATACTTCTGGTACCGTGCACTCCATTTACATATCCTTATGGTGCTAACTCGATAAAATATCAGTGTTCTCAAATTGAATTGGTTATAAAGCCTGTGCTTAAATATAGTTCTTGCTTCACACAGATTTTTTGTTCTGCTGCATGCTGTTTGGTATTTTGTGTCGCTATGTAAGTGTCGGTGTATAGGAACTGATTGTCATGGACATGCACCGCTAAATGTTGTCCGACGCTCATTCTATACAGGAAGACTTCGTGTGACGTCAAGAAATGTTAATAATAACCAGCTCACGCAATAAAGTTGTAGCCAACAAATGCTCTAAATTAAGAGACTTGTTTCGAGTTTAGTTTCTCCGTTTCTGCATTGGTGAGTTAAAGAACCTGGCAATAAGAAATGTCTCGTTGCAAGAAGTTCCGTAGTTTGGTTCATGACATTGATTGCGAAAAAAAATGTTGCGAAAATAAACCGAGAATCGACCGCTGCGAAGACATGCTAAAATCGTATGAAATTCTAACAAACCCGGAGTCTATGGCCAACCAAGAAAATCCTTTAAGCCACGCTTTCAAACTGACGCGTGAAATTGGGAACCAGAAGAAGATAAATTTACAAGTGAAGAGCGAATTGGAAGCTTTTTACAGAAAGTCAAGAAAATTCACAGTCGACTTGTTAGACGTTTGTGAGAATAACCAAGAAGTTACCGTTCTTTTAAATTTTGATGAGGACGATCTCAGTGAGAAGAAGAAGATTAAAATACTGATGGAGGCAGTAGTTGCTAAACATAAAGAGGTAATTCGGACTGGATCTTTTTTACCAAGTATAATTTAATGTGCAAATTATTAAGATCAGTACAAAAAGTCTGTAACCCTAGCTGAGCAGCATGTAATTCTAAGCATGCAACTATGTCTTTCCTTAACCCACCATTGCAAATCATTATACACGTCGATGGGGAGAGAGTCTTAGAGGCTGTTTATATGGCCCGTGCCAGTTCGAGTACCCGAGCTGGCCCGGTTTATAATTATGCGAGATATACCGCGTTTGTTATTATTTCCCACTAAATGTCATTCTGCGGTTATATGGGAATCGAGCAGGCGCACCTAAGCGAGATCCCGCCTCCACTAAGCCGAGATCTAGGGCGACCGGGCTGGGAATTTCCCATCAAAGACCCGTTCTGTCCCGCCTATAAGCAGACTGTGAGTTATTGGTATGTTCATGCGATATATTGTCGTAAATAAGAATTTCTCAACCGATATTGTTCCTAAGAGTTTTCAGTGAATGATTCTATGCGAATTAATATACGTGAAAGTTGCTCGCGAAAGTGCGAACATCAGGTTCTTTTATATTATACTATTTATGGCTGTGAGACCAGTGGTTTGTTTGACGAGGCCGCCCACCTCAATAGTCTCACGTAAACGAGAAATAAAATCAGCTCGTCAAAACTAGCTAGCTCGGCTACTCGGGGGGTGGCTCGCCTCCATATAAACACCCCCATATTCGCATCATATTCCCTTGGTGTTTCTTTAATTAAGGTTAAATTCGATACAGTAATCCTCACAAAATTCTTATGGGACAATCGCGAATACTGAACTATATTAACAAATTTAACGAGCGAATTTCCACCGGAATCACGGCATCTTGCTCACGACATCTCGTGCCATTGTCTGTGTTGTATGGCGTGTTGCATATCCGTGCGAAGTCATTAATTTAAAAATTCAATTTCGAAAACTGACAAGGGGAATATCTCTTTATATTGCTTATTATTAATTATTCTATGTTTTAATTGAAACGATGCACGAAAAAATAGTTTATGAAAAGGTTTATGAATATTTATATATAAATATATATATATATATATATATATATATATATATATATATATATATATATATATATATATATATATACTTTCAATTTTATATAGTTTATTGCACATCGCCACGTTCAACAGTTATTACACACAATCGAACATCCATCTTGGCCATGGTCAATCATAGAATTCCTTCCTGGTATTTTAAAATACATCCTCTACACCCTAACGTTCCCAATCTGGGCATTTGTGTTTATATTTTGGAGAGATTGTGACATTTTATGGTTACAGAAGATGTCACATTTTATGGCTACACCCTTTGGCAAGTTTGTGAGCCATACTTCTCACTATTGTGCTTTTGTCGTTCTTCTGTTTATCTCTTCAGCAAGGGAATATCATGAGCCGAGTGTAATTGGTTAGTATAAAATTACGACATACATATACATACCTACCTTGAACCCAAGTTAACTTATGCCAAATCATTCATAAGATGATATGTATCAATTCATCTAGATATATAAACATTGATCAAACATTCATTCTTTCGATTTTTCATGAATTATGAATGGTTTAATTTAAAAGCAATTATACATATCAATCTCTCCCGTATTATATTGACGAGGTAATTCCTCACTATATATTGTGTGGAATGTTTTATGTTTTATGATAGATTTAATGTATGATTCAAATGTTCATGCCAGATTAAATAACCAATATACCATGACCATGTTAGTCCAACTATTATATATCACTTATCAAAGTAATCAACAGTTTGCACTAGGTGGCGATCCCCATATTGTGACTTGTGATTCTAAAAATTAGAATGCCTACTTATGTACTCCTAACTGATGATTTGCGACCCTGTCATCAAAATTTCGTTTAATATTTTTCAACGGCTAGTCTCCATAATTTGGACAAGTTGGTATTGCCACTTTAAGCGATTCTACTCTATAGGCTAACGCAATCGGTTGGTGAATTTGATGAGTCACAAATAACAATGGATTTACACGATGCGTTATTTATTGAGTCCAGTATAGGAACTGGAAACATCTAACTAGAAATACATGCATGCAACGACTCCTCGCTTATATTTTCCAAACATTGTTTCAACATGAAGTATTCGTAATTTTGCCAACACTGAACGCAGGCTCGCGTTGCACGTCATATTTGTCATGGCAACACGATAAGTGTTTTTTAAACTTTTTGTACAAACCTGCAAAAAATAGATGAAACTTGAGCACTTTTAAATACAGAACTACCAATTTCTAAAATATATAAAGTATAGGTATGTTATTTTGATTTCTATATGGGCTTTATTTCATTGTAAAATTCAAAACGATACTCACGTAAAGCGTTTTTAAATGTGAATTGAAATTAACTGCTTTTTGCCGATATTTATAAGTAACTCATTTACTCCTCAACTCGAGCTTCAACTTATTACTCGCACTATGAAATGAAATAAATTTAATTCGTACAGGACGCTTATGAATATAATTTGCTTTTCCTTTTTATCATGAACTTCTACAAAAGTTAATTTAACTAAGAAACTTTCGCATACGATGCATACAATGCATATAAGAAAGACTTGAACAACGAGAAGTCTATATTAATAAAGTCTATATATTAATACAATTAAGTCGCACATAAACAATTGAAACAAACTTGCCGTATACTTTAGCATTTCTCATAGCCTACTGAATCAATTCTTATAAATGTTTACGTTTAAAAAAAGGAAAACAATTTTAAAATTTGTTATGTGAAACGATTTTCCAGGCTTTCTTTACATGTATTTTTATCCTGGCAAACAGCCATATTTGAGATCAGTGAGATGACCACCCACCGAAACACCGTTGGTGACCCACGCCCGTGATCATTGCATGATGAACTTTAGACTTCGCTAAAGCTTTCGTTTCCGCGTGTGTAAATAGCCGGGCGGAATTAGTACCCTCGTCCCTGGCTTACGCCCGGAACGGCGCCCCGCGACGTTGGCTCGGGGATAAAGGTAACGTGCATGTTAATACTATACAAAATCTAGCAGGGGAATTTGTCATAGTATTCAGAATATTTTTTGTTTACAGAATATTTGCTCTCTGCAATCGTTTGGTCAATGTGTATACAACAATTTCTTATATTCTGGAAGGAAACGTGCTGCTGGCGGTGTTGCTGTTATTTTCATAGCCGGTGGAATCAGGTTTTAACAGTAATGTTGATCGGCTTCGTGATTTCTGATTTGCTCTGGTTGATTGGTTCAACAGCAGTTGGAGGATGGCCGGTTGATAAATTAGAATCAGCCTCGGATATGGCAGGACACAGAATTCTACTTCTGGCTAACAGCTTTTTCTCAATCTCCACGGTTATGAGCGTTTTTTATTTGGGTAATTTCTGGAGAGTAAACTCCAAGTCTGGACCGTTGCAGCTTTCGACATTACGGATGTTCAAAGACATTCGAAAATTTTTAATGATATTTCTAGGAGTTTTTCTTGCATTTTCACTCGGTGTGCGGAATATTTACTCATACAGAAATAAATTGGAAGCCATTTACGGCAACGGTACAGCACAAAGTGTGGAAGACGAGCTTAGCACGTATGTATCAGTTTGGAAATAGTATTGAGCACATAAATGTCATTTCTGGATGTTTAGTTAGGTCCTTATCTTTTTCGCACTAAGACTTTCCTTACAAGTGCTTCACTGATTAAACAATACATTTTCCATAAAATATATCAAGATATGATAGTCTGGAAACTCAAAAGAAGTAATTGTGTTATAATTTTGTCTTAGTTTATATTAATTTGACATGGTCACGATGATTGAACTCACTGTGTTTTCGTTTGATAAAGTGCTCGTCCAATAGGGATATCTGAGATGAAACGTAAAAACACGAGGAACATTTATTAATAAAGTGAATTACGAAGACAAAGTATTTGAGCACTGTGAGATACAGTTCAACGTCAAACAAAGCGCCTCATTTTGTGGGTTTGAAATTTAATTGCCGGACTTCCGGATGATATGCCTATTCGTAGCATAAGTGCATAACTCAAACAGAATAGCATCTGTTTGTCAATTGTGAAGTAAAATTTATTTGAGAAACCATAAAGCCAGTCCTTCCAATTAGTTTAGTCCTTGCTTATCTAATTACAACCTAATGTCATTCTCCTTTAAGGCTACTGAACTGATTACTGATTGCGCCGATCGGGTATCCGATAAATTTACATATTACATAAAAGGCGTCCATGTGTATTGGATTGACATCAATAATTAAACTTTGATAAATCTCATGCAAAATTTCAAATATAAATATTAAGAAAATTAGACCACTATAGTCCATTTTATATCTCTACAGTCCTTCTCCGTCTAATTAAACCTCTTACTCAATATATTGGCTGGACAATGCTAATAGAAGCTAGTGCTATTTCTTTGAGCCAAGCTTTACAACCAGTAATAATTTCACGGAGATAATGCCACATGCATGGCATGGCAAGGCGGTCATGAATTGACGTTCTTATCATGAAATTTCATAAGAAGTTTAATTGAAGAAAAAATTTCCCAAAAACAGAGATTGGGAGTCGCATTACCAATTAAAGCGTAAAATTATCGTGATGTTTCATTCTATGAAATTATATTATTATTTCTATATTAATTTAAGGTTTTCACAGTCTTGGCAGGTTATGTTTTGGGCATTATTTGATCAAACCAACGTCGAAAAATTTGAAACCACCCATCCAAGGTTCAACATCACAAGTAACACTGGAAAGTTAATGTTTGCAATATACTTGATCATTGTTGTGCTAGTCGGAGTGAATATGCTCATCGCCATGATGAATAACTCATACGAATACGTTGCGGTAAGTCTGCTCAAAATGCCTGCAGAAGAGCTACAAATTAGGTGTTTAAAGAATTTTGCTCTCGCTGACTCTCTGAAATGGGAAAATTAATTTTGTGGATGACTGTGGCGTATAATTCACTATTACTACTGCCAGTGTTACACCTCCGAGGGAGATAAGTTGTTCTGTTTGTTTGTTTGTTTGTTTGTTTGTTTGTTTGTTTGTTTGTTTGTTTGTTTGTTTGTTTGTTTGTTTGTTTGTCTGTCTGTCTGTCTGTCTGTCTGTCTGTCTGTCTGTCTGTCTGTCTGTCTGTCTGTCTGTCTGTCTGTCTGTCTGTCTGCCTGTCTGTCTGTCTGTCTATCTGTCTGTCTGTCTGTCTATCTGTCTATCTGTCTATCTGTCTATCTGTCTGTCTGTCTGTCTATCTGTCTATCTGTCTATCTGTCT